TATTTGCTCTTACCTGCACTTTTCATTTAAAGACACTGCATGACAGAACTACAAATAATGCAAAATAAGGCAGCAAGAATCACATGACAATGTCCATATAGAACCAACATAAATAAAATGCATCATAAACTTGAATGGTTAACGTTTGAAGACCGGTTGAAGATGATTCTTACTCGACTTATTAAAAATACTCATGAACAAAAATATCCAGCAGATCTCTTTGATCAACTGGAGCAAGTAAAAGGTAGAGAAACTAATATAACAAGATATATGACAAAAAAATATTTCAAATCACCCAGAGCAAAAACTAACTACATGTGTGGAACAGTACTTTATAGAGCCATAAAGGAGTGGAATTCCCTACCGTTCTCACTGCTTAAAATTGAGAGTAAAATAATGTTTAAAAAACTGATTAAAAAAAACAGCAACATATTTAGAGACCAGTTAAGAAGATCGGTCCTTGACAGCTGGAACAACCCTGTGGTGGAGTGGGCAGGAATGTAGATATTTACCATAATGTAGTCAGCTAAAGTTTTTGTAAATATACACATGATCTTTTCTTTCAGTGTTATTTTTCAGTTTTCAATCATCTTTCTTATGTTATGGTTATATTATCTATATATATTTTTTTTACTTTCCTTTTTTCTTGTTTTGTTTTCTCTCAGTCCCAAAAAAGACAGTCCCACCCTACAGATGCATAGCAGCTCCCTTTAACTGGCTTTGAAGCGTTTCCCTACCCAGTGACTGACATTTACATGTTCATTAACGGAGCTGATGAAAGGCTCGAGTTTAATCAAGGGAGGAGGCTGTTACAGCCTGAGCCTCGCTCCTCTGCACATTACCAGGGGACACGAGCACAGCACCAGAGTAAACATCCGGGCTGGCGAAGGGTAACGCCGAGGGCCATAGAAGGAGCAGATGCAGAATTTAATCAGAAAAATATGAATGAATGAATGATACAGGACACAGCACTGGTCCTCCTAGTGGCACAGTGTCTTGGTTCAGTTATTGCTATTATATTATACTGCTGTTGTAACGTAAATGTGTTCATGAACTGGCAAAGGAATAGTATATCGTACCCTATATCATTACTGTCTGGACAAAACCTTGTTTTTTCTTTCCCCCCTTATTTTTTCAACAGAAATTGAAAATTCCATTCTATGGAAACGTCCATTTTTGTGTCCCTAGCATTTACAGATATATTACACTTGAAGAACATGTTAGGATTACAACTTTGTTTTGCCTCAATTTAGCAATTTTGATTTTTAAATCAATTATCTAGAATTCCAAGCACCACAGAAGAGTTCGTCCTCACAGTCACGTGTGAAGGCTGAGGCCATATTTTGTGGTAAAAAACATGTTTTTCTGCACTTTTAACTGCAATAATCAATACATGACTACTGAATATATGATTTAAATGGCAAATAGAAAACAAATGGCAAATAAATATTATTAAATATATAATGAAAGTCCCCAGGAGTCGTGTCACTGGTGTTACTGTGTAACAAAAAATCACACTGATGACATCACTTGACTTCCTTTTGCCTGTTTTCTGAGGATCTATGAAGAAAAGCTCATGGTGAGTCCACTGTGTCTTTCAGATATCAGAGATTCTCATTTAGCTCATGATTTCATATGAAGCTTTTAGCTGAAGTCACTGGTGTGACCGACTTTATTCTGAGGTAACTGTGAAAAAATAGAATACAAATGGATTAAATTACATATTTTAGTGGATATTCCATGACTGACAACATGTGGTTTGATGCTCTGCAGCAGCCGTTTTAAAATGTATTTTTCATTAAAATGTCTCTGGTGTTACATTTATTATGTGTAACACCGATGAGGATCAGTAACACCAGTGACTCTTGTGAATAGATAAAAATAGTGGACGTTTCTGTAGAATGACCCAGCTGCCCAGCTGATTTTTCCTGCTAAAACTTGCCCTTTTGGAGACATAATGTTTTGCCCAGACAGCAGCATTATATTTTATTACCTGTTCAGTCTTCCAGTAAGACAAACACAGCAATGCTGGTTGATTTCCTCATTCAAACAAGGTTCAGTGCTTGGTCAGATCATATGCCGTTTTAACCTTGACTTCCATTGTTACGCAGATGACGCACAGATTTATCTTCGGACCAATTCCATCAGTAGTCCACCTCTCGGTAGCCTAGAATTGCCTCTCAGAAATTAGAACCTGGATGAAACACAATTCACTAAATAGTAATAAGACTTGGCTCATTCTCATTGGTCCTAAATCTACACTCCATAAAACTGGCTCCCGTACTCTTTCAATTGATGACATGATTTTTTCCTCCTTCTTTTGTAGTCTGAAATCTGGGTGTCATCCTTGATTCTACACTTAAACGTGATTCTCATGTCAGCTCCCTTATTAAAAACTCTCTTTCATCTGCGCAGTATTGCTAAAATCTGACCCTCTCTTTCCCAGCCTGCTTCTGAGACTCTCATTCATGCTTTCATTTCTAGCCGCTTGGGCGTCAGCTCATCATTACTTCATAAACTTCAGATGGTTTGGAATTCTGTTGCGTGTCTCTTCACTCACGTCACCACATTACACAGTTCTCCAAAGCCTTCATTGGCTTCCCATAAAATACCACATTCAGTTTAAAATCCTTCTCCTCACATTCAGAGTTCTCAGCAGTCTTCCTATCTGTCTGATCTTCAACCTTACATGCCTGTGCGCACTTTCTGACCTTCTACAGCTGGACTGCTTACTACTACTTCTTCCAACCTCCTTAGCTTTGGTGACCAAGCTTTTTCCAGACTTGCTCTATGCCTCTGGAACTCTCTCCCATCAGAGATTCAACAGTCAAACTCTGCCATTGTTCAAATCCAGCTTTAAAACATATTTTCCGATAAAATATACAAGTTTCCTCTGTCTTGAATCTATTGTAACTCATGTCACTCCTTCCTCTGTGTTGTGATTTATGCATTTCTGTCATTTGATTTGTCATCTGTGTGGTTTGTTTGGTGTTGACGTTCCATGTTCATCCCAATTGTAATCTCTAAGCGTCTTTGGGTCTTTGAAAAGCACCGTACAAATGTCATATAAATCATTATTATTATTACTACTACTATTACATTAGAGTCCAGTTGAGCGTGCAGGTTTGGTCAAAACACCCTACATCTGTAAACCATCAGACTAGCTGGTGATGTCCAACTTTGTATCATGCAAAAGAGGTATTGAATTATTCAAGAGCAATCATTTTGAAAGCCCTGTGGTAGGCATCTGTAATGGCGGTGCGTAACAGTTCGTGTGATAAAGCCCAGGGGGTTACCCAGGCAAACAGTAATTATGTACAGTTACCCAGCTCTTAAGGATGTCTAATTATCTGTAATGAAGTCTGCCATATGTGTAGCATGCACAGACACACTGGATGCAGACAAGCTGAGGGCTATAATTACCGCACCTTAGTTTTACGTAAAGCTAACACAAGCATAAAGGCCTTTTTATGCCACTTCATAAAAACCTCAGTGCTCCAAAACAAAAGCTTCTCAGGAAATGTGAAAACAGCTGGGGTTTCCATTGTGTTTTGCATGACGTTTCCTAGGATATGGAAAAATTGTCTTTCTGTTCTATTGTAAGTGTCAGACAGGCCACCTGGGCTATTGTAGTTAACTGGCCATTTAAAACTGTTCAAATCAAGCATTAGAAAAGTCTGGGACTAGTTTTGCTACACTGCTACTCAGACTTTCATTTTGATATTAAGATGCTTACAATTAACACATTAAAAACCACTTGTCCTAAGATGATGACTATCTAGCATTACTGTACTTTTATCACGAATTATTAAGCACCTATCTCTACTTATTAGGTCTCTGAGAGATTTTAATAATTGTACTAAGAGAGAGTAAAACACAGCCATCTCAACATATGGCAAGCTCCCCCTCCCTAATCCTGAAACTCTCACCCATTTTTTTGTCAATTGATTATGCTTGAATGAACTGGCCCCCTCTGTTTGGGATTAAAGTCTAGACGTGTCCTATTGGGTGCCAGGGTGGAACACAGGCTCCAATTGGCAAACGGCTACATATAGAACAAGCAGACTTGGCCTTTGAAAGGTGAGAGCACTAGAGACTGACAGGGCTTCCAGAAGGCAGGGAATCCCCTCTGTGAAAGTTAATGTAAGGTAAGCTGATAGCTCTTTCTGTGTCTGGATTACGGATATGTGCTTAGATTGTCAATGAAGATTGATTTTAGAGGTGTTCTGCATGTCGTTCCCTGCTGTGATGACAGCAAGGTCACATTTAGTGAAAATGCAGATTACTTTTGAGCTTGTCGAGTTTTAAGGTTGTTCAATTTGGAGAGGTTTTACGAATAGCTGTAACAGATTTTATCTCTCCGTTAAATGGGATGCCATCAGGCATTCTTAAACTTTGTAAAAATTCACTTTCAATTCCTCCTGCAGTTTATGGGAGTATAACTGCGCCATACATGTCCTGACATGACTCTAGTCGGTTGATCGGGGGACCGTTACCCCACAGGGAAATGGTGCAGTCACGTGACTTAGCTCTCAGCATGCTGTGAGTGTACGGACAAATCTACCTCACAGCTGTGGAGGCAGCATTCCTCCCTCAGACGCAAGCCATATGGAAGCTCTGTCACTCAGTGTGGGTCATGTGACAAACTGGGAAAACATGTTCAGTAACACAGAAATGCCTCTGAGCAAGAAGGTACAGAATGGGAAAATAGCAGGGAGATATTTGTGGCACAAACGAGGAAAAAAGCACACAAATGTTGCAATTTGAAATCTTTCTCTTTGTTTAGGGACAAATGCTTCCCTTGATCATAATCTTGTTAACAAATCCAAAAAGCATGGCAAGTCACCAGCGGATTTTTGGCATGTTAAGTAGTTGTCACTCGGTCTGAAGAGGGGTGCAAAGTCAAGTGCTTACAAAGCAAATGTTTGGGCTTTTGTCATGTTAATTGATCATGTCATCCCTTTTGTAATTCTTCCCCTTTTCTCCCCTGCCTTCCACAGCTCTCTATGAAGGAGGCTGGTGATGGCCTTCATGCTCAGATGAACTCCATGATGGGAGCTCTGCAAGAACTTAAACTCCTCCAAGTCCAAACCGCACTTGAACAGCTGGAGATCTCTGGAAAATCTAGCTCTGTGACTCAGCCACCAGCTACACCCTCTAATCCCAACCCTGACCCCGAGGAGCAGCGACGTCAGCTACCTCGGAGCCCCAGCCAAGAAAATCAAGGACAGTTTCCACATCACAGCAGCATTGGGACTTCACCCTCTACCTCCAGCTTGGAGAGTGAGGGCACGTCTTTGCCCAGGAGAATCTCAGGATACACTGCCCCACAAGTGGAATACTGTGGCCCCAGGGTGTGCCAACCAACCATGGAGTACCACCATGAGCAACCCCAATCTGCACAACTGTCCCCAGTTGATCTGTCTGGGATTCTCTACAGCCTCTCCCGAGAGGGACCTTCCCTGGACAGCGACTATACCGAGGACAGCTTGGACGACTCCAGCGACTGGACCTCCTCACTGATGAGCCGCAGCCGCAATCGACAGCCTCTGGTGCTGGGGGACAATGTGCTTGCCGACCTTGTGGGCAACTGGCTGGACCTTCCTGAACTGGAGAAAGACTGTGTAGAAGGGGAGAAGGGACTCAACAGACCAGACTCTCCGGCTCATCCGCTTAACCTGAGTCGATCACAAGAGTTCTGCAAGAAGTTCTCGTTGACCAGCAACTTCTTCAAGAAGTTCCTGCGCAGCGTGCGACCTGACCGGGAGAAGCTGTTGAAGGAGAAACCCGGCTGGATGCCACCAGGTCATGACCCAGAGGCAGAACTCTTGAAGAGACCCAAGAAAGCTGCCAAGGCCAAGGGCAGCTTCTACTTGCCGTTTTGGGCAGGGGGACAGCAGGCAAAGGCTAGGCCGTGCCCCCAGTCAGCAGAGGAGAGGAGCCAGTTCTTAGGACTTTACATAGACAGGAGGCCTGCAGAGCCTGTAGAGAAGGTCCATCCTTTGTTTGACTACAATACAGCTGTTTGGGTTTAGCAGGGCTTTTCTGGACGGATGGAAAAGGGCTGGAAAATGGGGATTTGAGTGAAACTCACTGAGATTAAAATGGATTTGATTTGGACTTTTTAGCTGACAATCTGTTCGAGCCCTCAGGGTGTAAAAGTAGGTCTTCCTCTCATGATGAATTTCCACTGGCTGCACTTAACTCAGTGAGAACATGAGACTCTTCCTCTGATGTACTTTTATGATTTGTAATTTCTCATCCACTCCTCCACCATCCTTGACCATTTTACCCTGTCCGTTCTCTTCTCTAAGGCTGACCGGCTCCTCCCCAGTTCAGTAATGCTGCATGTATGCTGTTTTTTTCTTTGACAATGTGATGGTTGTTCCTCGTTGCACACAAACCTGAGTAGCACTGAAATACCAATGACTTAACATCTTTATCCAGGTAAAAAGAGGTAGCTCTTCATCTCATAAAACTGCTTGGCACAGATCTAACTTTGGGTTGGTTTTAGAGGTTATATTATGCATGGCACACAGAGAGAGAAGCAGCTTAAAGCCATCTGCTTTTCCATGGTTACATAAAGCTCTGTCTTCAGTATGTTAGAGACAGAAGAACACAGACTGCGTTGTAATAAACACTAAACTCCACTGATGACATTTGTCAAACCAGTAATCCTGCCATAAAGAAAAAACAGAATCATGAGACACATCGTCTTAAATCAGACGCAGCCTTTCGTACGTCTCTAATATAAAGAGAGCAAGTAAGAACAGCTGGCCAAGTCACCTTAATCTGTGTCTACAAATCAGACTAAGATCCATTTCACAAGATCACAGCACCTGAAAACACATCCGATCCCTTTTTAATCTGACTTAATCTGTAATAGGGAATATGAGGCTACTTACGGAGGAGAATAAACAGTTCTTATTTCTCAGTGAGCAGATGGGATGGGCTTATTTCTGATTCCCATCATACGTAGCTCATCTATTAGCTGAAGATGGCATCCACTGGACTATGCCATTATTTAGTATCGACAGAAATCAAAGATCACTAAAGACTAAGCTTATGGGGTTTATTTTTAATATGCAGCTTTATCAGTATGTGTCTGAGGAACATGTCATTTTTCCGCACTCAGTACTCTAAAGCACTCTGTTAGCTAAAACACCAAGGTCTACACCATTAACACAGAATTATATATTAAAAGATGGAGTGAAAACGGAGAAAAAATAAACAGAAAGCATTCTTGGTAACACTTTACATAATGGCAGTATTTGTAAGGCTACATGAGCCTGTAATGACAGCTGACATAACCCTACATATGCGTTTATAAAAGCTTATTCCAATGAGTGTTAATTTGCGTAAAGACTGCGTTCATCAATTTTGATGTCTCTTCATTCTAGAAAGTGCAATGACAACTGATGATGGAATAATTCTTTATAAATACTGTTTTTAAAGGTTTATGTCAGTTCTCATGACAGGTTTACGTTAGTGTTGTGTAGCCTTATGAACGCCACCCTTCAGTAAAGTGCTACCGAATTTCTCCCATTTGGAATATGATACAGCATACGGCTGGGTGTCTGTCCTGTGGTATTAACGATTACCAGAAACTCATAACGCAATGTAAAAAGGTACATGCTGATGCACAAAAGCCATACTGAACTCTAACGGTACAAAGAACGTGTCAACAGTTTTTCTTTTAATATAATTGGAAATTACTTTTGTACCCAAGTAAGATTTGTAAGTTGGAAATGTAATTTTGCTGGGCAAAGTTAATTTACGCATCAAAGCCTCTCTGAGAGGGCGGTTTGTACAGAACTGAGGATAGAAATGTAAAAACGATGCTTTCTATGTTTCAGATGTCTAGTTTGTAAATGTTTTAGCACTGCTTTTGAAATAGTGGATAACTGTAACTTTCAGTCACTGACTATATAAAATGAAACACTTTTATGAAGCCTGTTTTCGTTGTGTAATTAACTAAGTTATTTTTAATAATGGAAACTGTCTGTGTTGAGATAACAGATGTTATGCTGATGTACACCGATCAGGCATAACATTATGACCACCTCCTTGTTTCTACGCTCATTGTCCATTTTATCAGCTCCACTTACTATATAGGTGCACTTTGTAGTTCTACAGTTACAGACTGTAGTCCATCTGTTTCTCTGCATACTTTGTTAGCCCCCTTTTACCCTGTTCTTCAGTGCTCAGGACCCCCATGGACCCTCACAGAGCAGGTACTATTTGGGTGGTGGATCATTCTCAGCACTGCAGTAACACTGACGTGGTAGTGGTGTGTTAGAGTGTGTTGCACTGGTGTAAGTGGATCAGACACAGCAGTGCAGTAACACTGACGTGGTGGTGGTGCGTTAGTGTGTGTTGTGCTGGTACGAGTGGATCAGACACAGCAGTGCTGCTGGAGTTTTTAAACACTGTGTCCACTCACTGTCCACTCTATTAGACACTCCTACCTTGTCAGTCCACCTTGTAGATGTAAAGTCAGAGACGATAGCTCATCTGCTGCTGCACAGTTTGTGTTGGTCATCCTCCAGTCCTTCATCAGTGGTCACAGGACGCTGCCCACAGGACGCTGTTGGCTGGATATTTTTGGTTCGTGGACTATTCTCAGTCCAGCAGCGACACTGAGGTGTTTAAAACTCCAACAACACTGCTGATCCACTCAGACCAGCACAACACACACTAACACACCCCCACCACGTCGGTGTTACTGCAGTGCTGAGAATGATCCACCACCCAAAAAGTACCTGTTCTGTGAGGGTCCATGGGGTCCTGACCACTGAAGAACAGGGTAAAAGGGGGCTAACAAAGTATCAGAGAAACAGATGGACTACAGTCTGTAACTGTAGAACTACAAAGTGCACCTATATAGTAAGTGGAGCTGATAAAATGGACAATGAGTATAGAAACAAGCAGGTGGTCATGTATTTTAATTTACAGGGCCTAAGTACATTACAAAGAAGCAGAATCTTATTGATGGAGATTTACAGTTAGCCAGCACACAATATGGTAGTGAACAGAAATGTGCATCAGAACTCCTGTAAGAAAATGAGATTGCGTGGCTGGCGTCATCTCCCTCGATTTAATCTCATAGTAATAGAGTCTATAAAACAAACAGCATATCTAACTTTTTTTTTTTTTACTTAAAGCAGATCATTTTTGTGATCCTGGGGCCATATGTTCCCCAGGGCCCTTTAGTTTTTCATCAAAATCTCTGGATAATGCCCTATTTTTACAGGTCCCCATGATCCCTCATTCAAATTCTCATAGAAAATAGCTTTATGTTCCCATATTGCCTCAGTCATGTTTCCTCAACATGAAAATAAGAGTAAGTTCCACCTGAACTTACACATTCTGATGTGTTCAGTACATAAAATCTGATCTTGTGTTTATGTACATGCTTCTTCCAAATAGACCTCCCTGTTAAAACTCACTCTTGACTGAACAGGAATCTATTCAGTGATATGCAGCATTTAAAAGTCTTTCATTATAATTTTATTTAAACTTCACAATATTAACAACAATGCAAAACATTACTAAAGCTGCCATTCATGCTAATCAAAAGGATCTTAGAGGACATCCTCAATGGAAACGTCTACCCTCCATTTAAATAGTGTTTTTCACATGTCCCTGTCAACTTGCCCTCACCAGTTCCCCTTTGGGGGAATCCCTGATACCGTCTCAAATTTGTTATTTAATTCTGCTAAAATGCAAGTTAGCAAACTAAGGCAGGGGACGGCAACATGCGGCTCTTTTACTGCCCCGTTGCAGCTCCACAGCAGAATTCGATTTTTAGGTAAGAATAAAATAATCCTCCTTTACAGTAAAATAAAGCTCTGCTGGTTGTCCTAATGCTGTTTAACAAACGGTGACGCTAATGTATAACTGCTCATTCACCAACCTTTAACCCTGAAGGTTGGCGCTCAGACTGCTGGTCACCACAGCAATTCAGATAAGAATCTGGCCGAGCTAGTAGAACGAAAAGGCAAAGAGAAAGATTAATGGAAAACATCGATAATTTGGAGATGAATGAACTTGTTTGCATTTATAATCACTCCAGCTGGTTTCCTGATGCGTTTAATCTGCAACGAGAAACTGTCAAACACTAAAAAGTCATGAAGCTGAAGTCGCTTCTCATTTGCCAACTTATCTATCGAATTCTCCTGTTCCACCTTAAATGATGCAGCATTCTGGCGCCTCAGGCACCATTTAAGGTGGAACGGGAAAATTCAAACAAGAAGCTGGCAAATGAGAAGCTGAAATCAGGCTCGTAAAAAGTTGAATATTGAGTTACTTTTTAAAAGAAGCTGTTCTACTTGCTGGAGATGCGAGAAAATCAGCTATAGCTGAGCTAAAGCTAAAACAGAGCAAACAAGTCTGTGTCTTTGTATATATTATATTTTTATCCTATACTTTTACATCAGCACATACTGAGGCATATTTATAGCCAAGATGGTAAAATGGACAAATATTTTGGCTCCCAAGGTGGTTTGATTTTGTTGAAAGGACAAAATGGCTCTTCGTAACATTTGGGTTGTCGACCCCTGACCTAGGGGCTACAGAGCTAGCAACAACAAGAAAATAAGTGCAGTGCACCACACTTAAACCAGATGTTCTCAAAAATGGATGGAATTACAAAGTTAGCTAATTAGCTCACTGAATTAGCTCCTCAAAACCTGCTCCTCGTTGTTCCCTGAATGACCTCTGATGGCCTCATGACGTTAAACATGACCTCAAGCGTCAAATATGACTAAGCTTTCCTAATGTATAGTATCATATTAAGGTATGATGCATCATAAAGAGCTGAACATATGACCCTGGGAACATAGACACTCTCCCCTAAAGCAACATTTTGAGGAAAATAAATTTTACACAATTTTCCTCACAAATGTAGCCACTCGGCCAAGACGTGTTCGGTGTCCGAGGTTTGATTTTACACTAGAGCTACAAAATTATGGACCAAACTCAGGTTCAAGATGGTTGCTATCACTCTTTTTAGCTATGCAGGATACTTTCGTTAATCTTCATAGATAACAGCGCATCGTACAATGCCAGAAACCACATTAGCAAGTCTGTCTGATATTACTTGATGCAGGTTGAGGCAAGTGTGTGATTTAGACGTGCCCTTTGCACAATGCTAATTTGTAACCATAGACTTCCATTAGTTGTTAGCTGCATTAGCCTCACAGCTCCAGAGCAGAGTTAACCCTTTACATGGTCAGGACCTGCTGGTCGACA